ATAATCAAAAAAATAATAACTTCATTGCAACCTTTTTGAAGTAGTTACAAAAGGAAACAACCTACATAACCACCAAGAGAATGGCTCAAGTATGGTATTATACATAATCTCTTCATTCATCAACACAATAGAAGAAATGAGAATGAATAGACTATCCCTATACCCAACAATGTAGGTATTTCACAAATATTAAGTAAAAAAAATAGAAGCAAAAGAGTTCATACTATAAGATTCATTTATATAATGTTCTAAAAACAGGCCAAACTACTTTTGGTGGCCTAGAAGTCAGGAGTATGTTTACCTTATAGAACATAGTGATAGAGGGAGTTTTTGTGTGCTGATTGTCTTAGCCACTTTTCTTGTTACTGAGATAAAATACTCTACACCCACAAATTGAAAGAGGAAAGGTTTATTTCAGCTCATAGTTTGTAGAGGTTTCAGTCCACAGTCAGCTGGCTCCAAGGCAGGTTGGCATGGTAGAGGGGCACCACAGAGGAGAAACAGTCCATGACAGAGCAGGAAGGAGGCAACAGCAACAAGCAGCCTCCCTTTCCCTTTTATCACACCCAGGCTACAGGCCTTTTGAGTGATGCCACCCACACCCACTGTGGGCCTCCCATTATCCACACCCAGAACTATGCTGAACCAATCAGTGGATTTACACATGCCCTCAATCGCATATCACACACCCTAGATCCAGCCAGCTCTGAAAATCCCCACCTATGAGTGCACGAGGCTTTGAGGAGACAAGCCATAACACTAATATAACTATTTCTTGACCTGTATATTAGTAACCTTGTTTTGTACGTTTTGGTAAATTGTATCTAGCCACACATTTACAACTTGTATACTTTTCTATCTCTGTGTTACACTTCACTAGAAAGTTTAAAGAATCTTAAGAGGCCTGTCCACCAGATACAATATATGGACCCTCTTGGAGACTTTGATTCAAACAAAGCACTTGTAACAACCTTTTATGACTGGGGAAATGTTAACAGTCTACATATTTGATGATATTAGGAAATTACAATGTTTTTAAAAGTGAAAACTTCTTTTAAATTGAAGTTTTTTATGATATGTATATGTACATATGTACATATGAGAATGTAAAACATTACAGTTAACAGAAATTGTGGGTAGAACTTGAAGGGGGATAACATGAAACAAGACTGGTCATGAGCTAGTTATTGAAGCTGGGTGATGGGTATGTGGATGTTGCCTATAATATTTTCTATACCTTAGAATATATTTGAACCTTTCACTGTAAAAAGATGTTATATTTTATATAAGTCCCACCAAAGCCTCATATGCTTGCAGGTGGGGTTTTCTGGGAGGTAACTAGATCATGGGTATGTGATACTCACCCTGGATGAGTCCACTCATGTATTTATAGCTGGGTGTGATGTTTGGAGGTGAGAGTGGTGAGAAGAGGTGGGCTGGCCAGGAAGTGTATATAGCTCTCCTTCTCCCTTGATCTCTTTCTGCTTCCTGCCTGCCATGCCATGAACTGTTTCTCTGCTGCTATGTCCCTCTGCCATGCCTCCCTACCTTGGAATGCCCAACTATGGACTGAAACCTCTACAAACTGTGAGCCAAAATAAACCTCTCCTTTAACTTGTGGGTGTTAGGCATTTTATCCCAGCAACGAGAAGGTAACTAAGACAAAAGATATATCTGTGTAATATAAGTATGAAAAAAATATAACCAAAGATTTCTAAGATTTTTATAGCTAAAATTTTAAAACTTTATTCAAAGACACTTTACTTTAAAAACACCTGGACAGAGCCATAATGCAGCCCTGAATAGAGAAAAAACCATGTGCCTAGATGGGACGGTTTAATTAAAAGATCTCAATTTTCCTTAATCTATAAATTCAATGCAATTCTAACCAAAATCTGAAGTATTTCTTTTTTTGTGGAAAATGAAAACAAATCCTAAATTCATATGAAAAAGTAAAAACCCAAGAATAGCCAGAACAATTTTGAGAACTACAATGGCAACTTGCCTCTCTTGTTACCAACTGCCACAAGATACATTATGAAACCAGGGTAATTAAAACAGTGTGATGATGATACAAAGACACATGGGCCAGTGGCATCAAATCCAGAAACAGATCCATGCATTTGTGAGAACTTCATAGGGGAAGGAGGTGGCTGTGTGATTCAACAGGTAAAGGACTGCATAGATGGTGGTGGGATGAGTGATAATCTGACTGGAAAATAATAAAATCTGACCTCTATTTTATATCATATTCAGAAGCCGATTTTAAATGGAAGTAATTTATAATGAAATAGCATATGTTTAAATACACAAATGTTCAGGCTGACTACACTAGAATACATAATGAAGTACAGTAGTCAGATGCTTGCACCTAAACTTAGAATTACCACAAACGCAAAAGCTACAAACGCAGATTATGCAGGTGTGTTGTACTGGCAACTCAAATACCACGAGCTGTGCTGCCTTCGGTTATGTGATTTTTCTAGAGTGAGGAACAACTCTTGTTCAAGTTCCAAACCACAAATTAGTATAATTTTCCCTTGATTTACATTAGAGTTACATTCCTGGAAATTTTACTATATTAAATTGTGCCAAAAAATACATTATGTTAATACAAAAGATAGAGTTAAGTTCTAGGCCCAGATAAATTATAAATGAATACCCTATGGGACACTCAAGAGTTGTACAGGATACAGGGTAATTTTTCACTTGAGGACTGTTCTATGCATTACAGAATACCTAGCGTCCCCAGGCCTGCTCTATAGACCCCAGTAGCCCATTCCAATCACAGTCATAACTAAATATGCCTCACAGATTTCAGATACCTGCCAGGGAGGTACCACCACCCAGGGGAACTACTGTCCGAGAAAATCTCTTGTATAAAGATCCATATACAAGGACTGTCATTATAGTTCTGTTAACAGTAGCAAAAAAAAAAGTTAAATGTTCATCAATAAGGGAACAGACAGAATATATACTGATAATGAATGTTTAAAATGAATAAACTTGGGGCTGGGGATTTAGCTCAGTGGTGCTGCCGCCTGCCTCGCAAGCGTAAGGTCCTGAATTCAATTCCCGGTACCAAAAATAAAATAAAATGAATAAACTTGATCCTTATGTCTTGATGAAAATATATCTCAAAAACAATGTTAGTGATAAAAGTACAAAATGAAAGTCACAGTGTATCATTAGCTGTCTTTTAAAATTAAAAAAGGGGCCAAGGATTTAGTTCACAGGTGCCATGCCTGTCTCGCAAACACAAGATCCTGAGTTTAATCCCTGGTACCAAAAAAAAAGAAAAAAAGAAATTAAAAGAAAATCTAAATTACATACATTGCCTGTGATTTACTTACATAAAGCAAAAGTATAGAAACATTGCAAATGAAAGATGCACCATTTCACGAGTGTCTGTCTGTGGGGAGGGAGGAAGTAGAATGGAGGCAGGAAAGGGAACAGAAGGGATCTGAGCTAAATTTTTTTTTATTTCTTTAAAATGAAAAACTTCAGCAGATATGCCAGAATGCTAATATTTATTAGTCTGATTAGTGAGGCACAGGTATTTATTACACTACCCAATGTAATATTCTTTAGTTTTTAGATATTTGAGATAATTCTTAATTTTTAAGAAGATGAATAGTAACAAGGTGCTCAGAAATTGGGATCAGAACCCAGATATGGATGACCAATTAGGAGACCACTGCAACCCTCCAATGACAGGATCTGAGCTCATCTTAGCTGCTGAAATGGAATGGGGTCAGGGGAAAAGGTGTTAGAAATGACTCAGTTTCTAGTTTCGTTAATAGAGCTAATAGTACAGTCCTTAAGACAATAACTAAGCAAGGAATGGTAGTACATGCCTGTAATCCCAGCAATCAGGAGGAGACTGAGAAAGGAGGATGTCTCAAGTGCCAGCCTGGTCTACATGGTGGGACCCTGTCTCATGCGCGCGCGCGCGCACACACACACACACACACACACACACACACACTCAGGTTAACTGGTGCTCTTTTGAATGTTGCACAATAACCTGTAGGACCTGGAGCAATTCTAACACTTAGAATACAAGTCAAACGGTAGTTAAAGCTTGGACAAATGGTAGTTGAAGCATGTACCATTAGAAACTTTGCTCTTCAATTTCCCATAGATGCTTATACCCTCAGGAGACACTGGGTTCCATACAAGGTATGGCTTTAATGCAATAAATAGCTGCAAAAGGATAAGGATCACTTGATAACCAAACTATGCATTTTCTTACTAAGGATGGAAAGGGAGGCCTGGATATACTATAGAATGCTGCTCAAGAGAAGCAAACACCTGGTGGTTTTATTTTGGTAATTCAAAGTGAGGATAATAGTTGTATTTCCCCTATTAGAATAGTGATATTTTTTAGAGTCGGATTGGATAAAAAGTAAAAAGTGTTCTTACTGAACTCAGTACTTTAAATCTTCTTAGAAAACTGATATTTAGCCAATCTGATTTCAAAAGTAAGTCCATTTAGTATCTCTGACAATGAAAGCAAGTAAACTAGAGTAGGAAAAAAAAAAAACCTATCTGATGGTGCACACCTAATAATCCCAGCACTCCTGAGGCCTTGGCAGGAGGATCACTGTGAGTTTGAAGCCAGCCTTGGTTACATACTGAGTTCAAGGCCAGCCTGAACTGCATAGTGAGACCCTGCCTCCTAAAACAGAGCAAAATGAAACAAAATTATCTGTCCAAATTTGAACACCCTGTTTAGTAGCTGACAAGAATAACTACAGGGCCATTTTTTTTCCCTTTGTACTCCATGCCATAAGGTCTTTTGGGGGGAAAGTTGCTTCAGATCTTTTTGGATGTATGTGTGGTGCATTCTTCATTCACCTAAAGTTGCCCTTTCATTCAGCTCTCAAGGAAAACTGATAGAGAGGCTTATAGGAGGTGACTGAACTACTGGATAAAATAAGCCCGCACCACCAGCCTCAGGAGTCTAAGAGCACAAATGCCACGATAAGGTGACTTACTCGCAGAGACAAATGGGGACTCCGTGGAGGGCAGCATGGCTAAGTGCTGCGGGTCATGGGTGACACCTCGCACATCCTCAATTCTCATTCCTAGTCAAGCCCTTGAAAGCAACAGAAAACAATGGGTTACTGCAATGAATAGCCCTTCTGGAGAAATTCTTTTCCATTTTCTTTGTAGCTTGTTCTAAAGCATAAAAAAGAACTGGAGGAACTTTCACACTTATTTTTCTGCTATAAATACTTCACTATCATTTGAATTTTAAAATATTAAAATAATCCCTTCATTTGGTTAATAAAGTAACATACAAGTCGGGGGTGGGGGATCAATTGCCAAGCTATCCAAGCTCAACATGCTGATAGAAAGGGGGCTCTCCGGGTCTTGGCCCTGACTGCTCCCTTTTCCTGGCGAGGGTGGCGAGCTGAAGCGCCCAGGGGTGTGGAGGAGCCCGCTTCTCCCTGGCCCTGCGGATGAAATCACAGGGGCCAGAGCAAAACGCTGCCCCACGGGTAATCCTCAGAACGCTCGCTGGCCATCTCCCGGATTAAGATGGATTAAAGTTTCAAAAAAAGGTATCGCAACCAGGCACTGCCGTTTCGCTTTCTTAAGAGCATGGACCGAAACAATCTTCCGTTGTTGGTCTCAAATTAAGTATTTACTAGTACCCGGCCTTGGGTCCAGACCCGCCGTGAGTGTGTTTGATCCGTGCACCGCTCGCCCACAACTTCTTCAGCCTCGGCAGCCCGAGCCCCAACTCTTCTTCCCTCTCCCTTCACAGCGGACCTGCTTTCCTTCTCCCCGCCCCCGTCCCTACTTTCCCCAGCACCGCAGGCCCAGACTCACACTTCAAGGTCCAGTCTGTTACAGTCACCCGGGCTTTGATCTACTTAGGGCGAATCACAAGTGGGCTTTCATTCAGGTGACTTTAGATTGGCTAATCAGCTCCGCTGTTTCAACGCTCAGCTCTCCCCTTATTAGCTCAGGTTTGCCGCGGCTCCAGGCAACGCAGAGTACGGTGGGTGGGCACGTCGTTCTCCGATACGCCTTTCGATTGGTCAAAACTAGTAGGCCCTGTGACTGGCTTCCATTGAGATTGGGTAGCGGCGCCTCCCCACGCCCACTTTACTGTCAATCACACCATCCTTAACCCACTGGACCATTGGTCAGTGCAACCTGAGGGTGAGTTGTTTGGGCCTACGAAAGCGGCTTCCCCGGTTTTCTCACCATGGAGATTGCTCCGCCCTGCAGTGCATTGATGGAGCCAGGCAGCCCCTATCTCAAAGTCCTATACAGCCTTCCAGACATCAGTACCTGTTAATCAGGCCTGATTAATATCTCAGTCCCCTCACCACTGGCTTGGTGGGGTGGAAGTCAGCCCGGGCCCATTCATTAAGCTTCCTTAACAATCCTGTTGGAGGAAACTGAGTCCAAAGCAGCAGCTCTAATAACATCACGTTTTGTTTTTCCTTATCTCGCCTCATTTTATTTGCTGTTATTCTTCTCTCAGCTTTCAAAATAGACCGAAGCAAGGATCATTTCACCCAGTGCAGCTCCTGAATCACAGCTTAATGAACGAAATGAAAGAAGAGGGTTGAAGGCCGGGGATTTAGCTCAGTGGTGGCTCCGCCTGACTCTCAAGTGCAAGGTCCCAAGTTCGATCCCCGGTACCACAAAAAAAAAAAAAAAAAAAAAAAGTTTGAATTTCATTGGTTGCAGGCATCAAGTTATTCTACTCCCAGGCCTTCATTTGCAGTTCCACAAACTAACCAATGATTTCTTTTGGGTTTAACAACTTAACCTTGAGGCCCAGTGAGGAGCTGTGTGGTTAAGAAAGCCAGCATTTTGACTGATTCATTTCACCAGAATTGAATGTTAACTGTAACTGTGCACTGTTGAGAGACTGTGAGGACGCACAAGAAATACGATATGACTCCTGTCTTAATGAGCTTTGTGTGGTTTTGTAAAGTTAGGTCAACAACTCAGGAAGCAACTAGAAAACGATCTTTAAAGCAAAATCTAACAATGAACTCGACCTAATTTATAGTTAATTGCCCCAAAAGATAATAATACTTTATATTTGAGAATATCTTGTAGTTTTCAGAGCACTTTTTCACCAGTACTGCTTCACGGACATACTGTTTTGGCTAGAGTCAATGCAGATGTCTCCGGTAGAGCAAGAAAAATCCCGGGCTCTAGCATATGGATAAGAATGGGAAGAATGGGACAGAAATGGAAGGGAATCCACGGAGGGAATATTGAGCAAAGGCTGAGACGAGAATGAGCAATGACATATGCACAATAATGTAGAGAAAAATAGTGAAAAATAATGTGTTGCTCAACTGGTCAGAATCAGTTCTTAGCTCTTAATGTTTTGGGAGAAAGTGGTCAAAAGTTTGAGATTGAAAAAATTGAGCTCTTTACACTTCTAATGATCAAAATGGTTTTAGTTAATTTATAAATTAAAAATGAGCACAAATGAGAATGCATGCCCAACTTCTTACATCTTCCATGTAATGTTTCTAAGTTTTCTCTCCCATAAGAAAGAATTCTTCTTCCAAGCTCTTCCCCTCCAACCTCATCCCTTAATTGGGAGAGGGGGAGAGGGAATTAGTTTTCTGGCTAAATGATACAAAAGAGTACCATGCTGCCACCACAGTGCTGTGTCCTCTGACACCTCTGACTCACAGTTGTGTGTACACTCAGAGGAGACTGGTTACCTGGCGGTCCAATCTTTCTCCCTTGAAAAGTTGTCTCCTGTGTGACAAGTTTTATACGGTACTTTTCAAAACTGCTCCCTATCTCTGCTGTATATGTACTTGTAGAATACACATAGATGTCATATATGTATGCACACATTTTGTTAAATTATAATTTTCTTCTCTCCTAAACAAACAAATCAACAAAAACAACACCAAGCCGAGTGTGGTGGTACACACCTGTAATCCCCGCACTCTGGGAGACTGAGACAGGAGCATGGTGAATTTAAGCTCAACCTCACCAACTTAATGACTTAGTGAGACCCTGTCTCAAAATTTAAAAAACAAATAAATGAAGGGCAGGGGATGTCGTTCAGTGCAAAGGCCCTGGGTTCAATCCCCAGTACCTTGGGTCAGGGATAAGAGAGAACAACACCAAAAAGCAATGTTTCATTTCCTCTCTCCAAATGTATGGGATCATTTGGTATTGTGTATGATAAAGGGAGGGAAGTAAAAAGAGGTCATTAGGGTTATGGAGCGCATGGAATGATTTCAAGAGATGATGTGAAGTTTACTTGCTCATTTTATAGTTATCAAAATGCAAGGCAGACCTGGATTTTTGTTATGCATTTTCTCATATGGGGTTATTTTAGTATTTTGCAAGTCTGAAAATGTACCAAAAACTGAAATAATTGTTTTTAGCAGAGTTTCAAATGTTACCTTTGTTCCATTTGGCTAATAGGGAAACTGAGTAAGCAAAAATATTCCCCTGGTACCATTGTCAGTAGGTAGTTAATCTGACATTCTGAAGTCACCCAGAATTGCACCATGAATTTTCAGACCACATTATTTAACAGATGCTAGGAACCAGGCACCAGTAAACTGGCCTGTGAGCCTCATCAGCCTGCCATCTACTTTTCATACAACATGCCAGCTAAGGATGATTGTTACACTTTAAATACTTGATTGGGGGGAGAAAAATACTTTGTGACATGCGAAGATTGCACAGAATTCAAGTTTCAATATCCATAAGTGAAGTTTTACTGTAGCACAGTCATACGTGTTTATTTTTGTATTGCCTTTGGCTGCTCTCTCTGTAACAGCAGAATTGAGGAGTTACCACAGAAACCATAGGTCCATTGCCTAAAATATTTACTTCTGGAAACTAAGAAAAAGTTCTGATTCTTATGACCTTAGCTATATCTAATGAATCATGTCTGATAGATTGTTGGAACTGAAATAGACTTTGGAAATCATGTAGTGTTTATCTAGAAATCTCACATTGATAGAGGCAAGCTACTTCTTGCCTAAAATCACATAGCCAGTGGACAGAACTGCTAGCTTCATTGGTCCAGGCAGTGTCTCCTTGGGTAGAGTTTATTACATAGGCTGCAGGCAAGGAGATGTCTCATTCACACTAATACAGTGCAGCGTATATCCCCAATTAGGGGATACTTGCATGTTCATGATTTATTCATGTTCCTGATTTATTTCAGCTATTTTGAGTTACCTTCTCTCTTCCATTTCTGGTATTTCTCAAAATGTATATGGTCATTGCATTAGCTTTCTGTCATTGTAAAAGAAAATATCCAAGACAATAAACTTAAAAGAAGGAAAGGTTTATTTTGCCTCACAGTTGCAGAAGTTTCAGTCCAGATTGGTTGGGCTTATAGCTCTTGGGCTGTTGATAAAGCAGCATATCATGGTGGGGAGGTATGATGGAGCAAAGCAGCTGCCCTAATGGCATCTGGGAAACAAACAGAGATAAGAAGAGGCCAGGCTGTCATATCCCCTTCTAGGCACACCCCCAGTGGTCTGGATTCCTTTTGCTAGACCCCATCTCCTAAAGGTTTGACCACCTTCCAATAATGCCATGGGCTGGGCCTGAGCCTGCAACACAGAGGCTTTTAGGGAACACTTCTCTAAGCTATAGTAGCCTTTATGGAAAACTTTCTTGCTTTTACATCCTTTGTTTTTAAAAGGCCTCTGTCTTCCCTTTCTCTTTCAACAAAGGAATTTGCAGGTGAGTGACTTTCTATTCCAGCCTACAGTTGTTAAGGGAAAAGCACAGAGCACATGGTTTTGTTCTGGAGTCTGCTGGATGAGCCATACACTTGGAGTGGAGAGACAGTGTCCACAGATCTACTGAAATGGTGAGGTTTAGTATACATGTGCATATGTGGGCTTTTCTGGGGAAAGACTCCACAGCTTTTGTAAAATATGTAAGAGAGTCCATGATTCCAAGAAGACTGAAAATTCTTATGTGTAAAATGAAATGTATCTGAGGGAGAAAGCTTCTAAGATGTGTGGTGGAAGAGGCTGACCCAGGTCTCCGGGACTGTCAGGCCTTCCCACTCACAACTGCCAGCCAACTTTCACCCTCTCTGCTGCTCAGAGATGATAAAAATTCATCAGCTTCACAGAAAGACTGAACTCAGATGGTGACAAAATCCCAGTATAATTCTCTCCAAAGAATGTTCTGATTAATAGAAACTGCAGAGGAACTAATTTTATGAAAATAGCAAACGGGATTGTTTCAGTTGAAGCAAGCTGGGAGAGTCGGTGCTGACGCCAAGCAGGAAGATGCAAACAATCCCATTGTGCAGCCCTGACAGCTCCAATCTTGCTGCTTATTTATTAAATGTCTTTCCGCCGTAAATTATTAAGCCTGGATTTGGAGAGATGTGGGAGCTGACAGAATAAGACAATAGAATGGAAAGCAAACCTGGATCCCTTCCTTCAGCATTATTGCAGTATTGTGTCTTGTGAAAAGCATTTGCCGCACTCTGTGTTGGAGAAGGGGGAGGATTCTCTCTCTGGTAAGACTCAGAAATGGAGGAGAGAAGTAACATGCTTTTGATTTCTGAATGATTTGCTAGTTCTTACAAATTAGAATAGTTTTCAGAGAAAATTCAACCTGTTGGCTCAACAACTTGGTGGCAGATATTTTGTCCATTATCCAAAAGGGCTGTTTGCCCACATAAGAAAGAACTTGCTTGGCCTTAACACTGTAAGCACCAAATTGATGTTTTATGGTGCAAAGCTTCCAGATTGGGTTCATTTGGCTTATTGGAAAAAGAAAGGCCTTTCCCACTGGGAGGGAGCTCTAAGGGCTACTTCTGAAGCTGAAGA